ACATAGGGAAAAGAGTGTTTCTTTCATCTTGTCCAACCGCCTCCTACAAAATTATTTCACTGAAATGTAGCCTGTCGAATACCAGCTATTATACACAGTGTCATATTTATACAAATTACTCATTTTGTGAAGGTGTGATTTTTTGAAAAACAATCCAGTTATGCATTACCTACCGACTTCATCGTATATTTAATGCTAAAAAATGAAAATTCCATTTGACAACCTTCAGTATGAACTTATAATAGTTACCTTCTAGTAAACAGGCCCACAAAACAAATGCCTAGCAAATGCTCCAGAATTCCGAAGGGTAGGTGTAATCTTTATCCTCTTCAAAATGCCTCTGTATAACCATGTGCTTATAGTATTTACCATGAGATTTTTATGAATTGTATTCATTATAGAGGTGAAGGTCAAACAGCCATCACATTAATGAATGTTTACCTGGATAAGTTTTCAAAAAAAAAATCCAAATTGAAACAAATGGTATACAAGAGTTTCGAAGCAAAGAGTACGAATCTCATTTGTATACGAACAAAGTCAAGAATTTGGCTCATACTTAAATATTCAGAGGTGATAGTAAAGCGTAAAAACGAAAACAAATTTTATTACCTTCAACCTCCTGTTGTTTATTATAACTGGTCTTTCATTTTTCATATAAACTGATGTGACAAGTAAATATGTGATGAGACTATTCAAAACGTATTGCATAAATACATTTTCCACATATTTCAGATAGACCCCGTCTTCTAATAACTTTATTCAGATTTACTAGATAGAACTAACTGTTTTTGATGTGGTTGTGTTCTCTGAGCTGGATAGTTAATTTGCGAAGCTTTCATCACCCTACTAGGTGACATCTTCAGCGCACACTTTAATTTTAAGTGAGCTTTTAGATTTCTCCAAGAGTTTATTAATCATCTCTCCCGGTGACCTTGGACGTGATTGGTCACCGGGAGAGATGATTAATAAACTCTTGGAGAAATCTAAAAGCTCACTTAAAATTAAAGTGTGCGCTGAAGATGTCACCTAGTAGGGTGATGAAAGCTTCGCAAATTAACTATCCAGCTCGGAGAACACAACCACATCAAAATCATCCACCTGAGCTACAAATCTTCTCCATCATATCTAGGACTAATTGTTTCAAACATCTCAGAGGTGGAAGATTCAGAAATTTCGAAAAGCAATTTATCTCGCGTCATTCAGTCTCAAAGGACTATTGTTGGCATAGTTTCATTTGTATTTTCCTTGTTAACAGACACAAAGTCAACTTATTATCTAATCTCTGGAATGGATTCCAAGTTTTGTGTTCAAAATGACTAGCAAACTGAATTTTTTACTTACAGGATTTCATCATGAGCTGACATTGGTTAGAGAACCATTGGAAAACCTGCAGGGAGTACTGGACAGCTGTTTCGTCCTCGTTGGAGACCCTTCAACAGTGGGCACCCACTGGGGTTCGAACCCAGAACCTCCTGGTTACAAGGCGAGCTCGTAGACCATTAAGCCACTGAGACCCGATCCAATGGCCCATAAATTCAAACTTCTGCCAATGTTTTTTAATTAATACACTAATTTTCTGTTCATTCTGCATTTTTAGGCTGATAAATTCAGAGTATAACTGGACTGTTTAGTTAGCGTGGTAACAAAAAGTAATTAAAATTTTATTTATCGAATAATGTGGTGACTGGCATGTCTGCATAATTAAAACTTAGATTTCATACCACTAAATAGAATAAAAAGTTATATTTACTTATCACTGAAGCATTCATCGTGTCTATGAGTTATGTTACTATTTTTAGTTACTAAATTTTTTTCACTGCTACATTATTATATAGGCTTTACATTGATAACCACAGAATTTATTACGCCACCCTCTAACATAATGTAATATCTTCAAAAGAGAAGCTTGTAATCAAAGGCTGCAAACTTTTCCAGTTTTATTCCATGAAGTTCTTAAAGTCCCCAATCGATTTATTTTTACCAATAGAAATCTCATCCTTCTTTTTTCTTAAGTTGTCACTCAAATCCTGAAACCTAGAATTCTCGGTACCAAAAGCACACATTCTAGAAACTGTCTCAATTTTAGTGATATTGCGAAGTGTATAAGTAGTGATATCATAACATATTTGACGACGAGGTTGTTGAGTTTTCCGACTTTGAATCAAATTCTCAAAAACAACCAGTCTAGTTCAGTCTGGACGTAAGGGTGATCCTAAAACCAATGAAGTCCGCCAGACCTCTCGAAAACTCTGCATCAGCCTCTGGCCCCACACTATCTTGTTCTATCTCAGACATCCATTGTCCCAGTTACTCACGTAATGCCAATCGACGCCCAAAGTTGACACCCCCATCATCCTGCTGGCATTGTGGTGCTTGGTATTTCGTCAAATCTTGTGCGTATAAGCAATAGCGGTGCCAAGGCCACAGTAATGTTGGACACAAGGATGGTTTTCGCCAGCAGTGGACAACGACCACCCTCCACAAATCTCCTCAGATGCCATTCCCAGTCAGCACCTGCTAGCCCAAAATTCATCAGTGTTAGGACTCTACGTCTCCCAGATGGCGCCACGCCTATTTCCCGACGAAAGAGGTCTGAGCCAGGTGCTTCACTACGTCTCGAACAACAAGGTGTTCTCAAGTTTGCCACAACTTCTCACGCTCTGATAGGGAGGAGGCCGCGAATGCTCTAGACCTTCCATCAAACAACAGATCACTCCATAGATGTCGGTCAGCCGGGTGCAGAAAATAGACAATGCAGTTCCAGGTTGGCTCCCAGTGATACGTCTTTTATAAAGTGAGAGGTGAGATACAGACAGATAAACAAGGGACTATCCTTTATTGAGGATATGATGATCAAGGCGAGTTTGGAAACAAGCCAATCAGAAATGGCCTACGTAAAATAAAACCCACTATCTTACTCATCATGGTTATAGACTAATTGATAAATCCTTGGTTAGTCTTTTCGATCATACATTATTGTGTAAAATATACTGTGGGTGATACTGAAATATACTTTTCGGCTTACGTTATTGTGCATCGTCGCCTAATGAGAGTGGACTGGGGAACAGGTAACTGTCGTAAAATGTTGTTGGCGTAGTCAAGCGGTATTCGTAATCAGCACATCTGTGTCCAACTCAGTGTCTCTATTTCAATCTCATTGTTATTGAGACACATAACAGGTGGAGAATATTCCACCTTTTTACACTCACAATTACCTGTAAAGTGGTTCTACTATTTACTAACAACAATTTAGATACACTTGTTGTAGTATATATGCAGCTTCTTAATACTAAACATCTTCAGATGTGATTCAGAGAAAATCAAAAATGACTGATGAACACTGAACTACTTCTGTGATAATGAATAAAATATCTCTCCCATGCTTCGAAAATTATAGTCTCAATTATTTTGGAGAAGAATTTTAAATGTTAAAATTTCATTGTCGACTTGGGCTTGTGCACATTCCGGAGTAAATGATATCTTTGGCACTCAGTTATTTCACTATTTAAAAAATAATTTGGGTTACCAAACTGTCTTAAAAACAAAATTGTGTGAAAGTTGCGAAACACATGGCAAACATTTAAAATTATTACTTGAGGTAAAACAAACAAATGGCACACCAATTCACAATACCACTTTCATTGAAACACCTTCAACAGATTAGATTTTTAATGAGGAACAGTGGTTTTAATCACTTCAAATGAAACCTGACAACTGCATGACTTCAGCTTAGAAATTCTTAGGAATATACAACGTATTTCTAGCTTATTGTTAAGTGCTGTCATTTGTTAGATCCATGACAAACGCTGAGCGTTATTCAGTGTATCTGCACCACAACATCTGACAAAGAGCAGAAGTTGTAATGGCACACCTTTATCTTAACCAAAAGCTTCGCCAGTTTCTTCAATGTCATTGTCGTTCAAAAGTGACTAGGTGTCAAATCTTTACGATTACATTGGTTACAGTAATAAAGTTCACTCTTTTGTGAGTATGAAGCTCCTTTCTTAAAATAAAATAAACAACTGCATCTCAGAGAAAGCTGAAGCCTGATGTTCATTCTCTCTCTACTTTCAAACAGGATTAAAGGGAAATACTACTTAAACCCTACATCAGTAGTAGATAGGTTAAACTGAACTTAGTTTATCCTACACAGATACTAGAAGCATATTGTAGCTTCAGATTTTATAAATTTGTTGACAAATACAACTGTTTTCTAGACAGTTTTTCACCAAATAATTTTACCAGTACTTAGAGAAAAATGACGGTTTACTATTCACAGGGAACTAACTAAAACCTACGATAACAAACTGAACGATAATAGCTACTGTATATACCGAGACCGCGACTGCTTGAGCGGCTGAGTATTCTCAGTATAATCTCGACTGTATTTTATTACCTCAGTAAAAGTAATTCAGTATTCTTCTTCATACTCTCGATCGTAGTCATAGATTTCACTGTCGAATACCCAATAGGCAGGACTAATACACTAAGGAAACCATAACAAAGTTTTGACAAGGATAAATTAATTTTGGAAAAGAATGAGGGACAGAGTAAAATGTCAAACTTGTGAATCCAAACTCCAATAACTAAATGCCGTACAAGAAGTTATAATTTATAGACACAAACGAGAACCTCATTCCTCACGTTTTGATTCAGCGCCTTTATTAATATACTTAGTCTTTAGTTTACGCTTAATACCTGTAATCACAAGAAAGCAGTTTTGCTCAGTCTACGAGAGAGTAAAGATAGTCTAATATGAAGAAACAAGAAGCATCTGAAGCATTTTGTTCAACAAATCGATATACACATATAAATGTAAATATCATGTGAATAAACTCTACGTGTCAGTACAACAAAAAGTAATACCTTTTGAAGGCAATACTCATGGGTGTATTTGGTAACTAAGGTTGTGTTAAATATCTTCATAAATCATTTCATGTTAAATAAGATGCAAAAATATGAATATATTTAAAAAATGTGCAATTAAATGTCATACTTACTTTCATTGATAAATGTCTTTGTCGTTTTTCAATAGGAAACATTGTGGCTATTTTTTTCCAAGAGAAAATTAGAGAGGAAAGAACACGTGATAATTGAATTAGTGGTGAATGAAAGAATAAATATATTCACCTAGTGTTATTTCTAGGCCATATCGAATTTAGGCAGTAATTATGAAAAAATTACAGTCAGTTTGAAAATTTCTGTGTTCTGTAATATACTACATGATGCTATTCTGAAATGCACTGCTTAACATGCAATACCATCTATATTTATTTCACTCAAATGATTGTGTCGATGACAAATGGATCGCATTATTGATTTCGATTCAATGGTCTGAGACAGATCCAGAGACCAATAGTTCGAATAATTTTTTTCAACAATGTGTTCTAAACGTGTTTGAAAAAAAAAACATATTAGGAGTGAACGGAAAACTAAAGAAACAGCATTGTATAGGCTGGAAGAAGTTGATAAAGTGCGTAAAATCAAAAGAAGCGGGAAAGTGAGTAATTTTAACTTAACAATAGTATGGGATAGTCTGTCAGAGTGAGACGTTTTCGATATCTGAACTGACTACAGTACAGTCATATTCTGTTCTATAAACAAGTTTAAAGTTTTCCGACCAGAATAATCCTATGTGCTTCAATGTTTTGCTAAGAAACATCTCAACACCATACCCAATGCAATATGCAGTATAGAAGTGTAGTTGTAAACCATAATATTATTATGATTATTCCCACAGGTTCCCAGTGGAACATAGGGCTTCAAGCTACAGGCTTGAAGTTTTGGTAGCATTGGTGTTTATTTTTACGGGATGGGGTTGCTAGCCCCATGCCCAACCTTCCCTCTTTAACAGTCTTATTACTGGTTTAGCAAGGTAAAGGGGTGCGTCGGCCGGGGATCGAACCCCGACCACTTGCGTGGTCGGCGAGCATTCTACCTCTGTGCCACCACCGCACACTGTAAGTCATAATGACAATAAATTTCATGAAAATAATTACGTTTCCATCGCGAACTTCTAATAAATAGAAAATATTTTTGTCCAAAAATTTGAATATTTAATACCGAATTCACAATAAGAAAGCAGCAATAATAATACCGAAGAATACGGAGTCTAGTAAAATTGTGGTATTCACGTGCTGTAATAACACATAAGTATTGACTATGTGCATTGGATCTATAGAAAATCAGTCAAGTTCAACTATTATACTAAGTGAATAACAAATGTAAACTGAAGGAATCGTTTATTGAGTTAGTATCTCAATATAATGTAGCTTCGAATGACGTTAATGTGAAGTCACCTTTCTAAGAATGAGTAATAGTTTAATCACAATAGTTCATAAGTGTTAACCTTTGAGGATTATTTTACTATGAGTATTACTACTTACTACTACTGTACTATTACGACTTACTATTACTTTCTACTAGAATTATTAAACTATTTCACTATTAGGTATTACGGCAGCTGAGTTCAATTTTTTATGCTATTTCTATGCACCCATATTCATGACATTGAGTTACACTGAAAGGACTATTCAAATTACTATTTATTTCTGAAGGCATTCAAATATTATTTTTTTTATTCCCTAACGTTCCCAGTGGAACATAGAGCTTCAAACTAGAGGCTTGAAGTTTCTGTAGCAGGGGTGTTTATTTTTACAGGATAGGGTTGCTAGCCTCATGCCGAACCTTTCCTCTTTACCATCTTTATTACTGGCTTAGCGAGGTAAAGGAGTGCGTCGGCTGGGTATCGAACCCCTGACCATGTGCATGGTAGGCGGGCGTCCTAACCTCTGTGCACCAACGCACAAATATTATTTAGTTGACCATTTATGGTATATAAATAAAATGTTGTTATATGAGTGTATTATAAAATCACTCAAAATGATCACTTTGATGATCATTGTTCACAGAAAATCCCTTAGTTACTAAACAGCTACCCCAGCACTTAATTACATAAGAATACAGTTATAACTGTAGGAATGAATTAAATCAAAGGTATGCAGCAGATCTAAGTCATGATAATAGAAACAGCACTTATATTTTGTGTACTTGTGCTTACTTTAGTATACAAGAATGATTGGGAGTCGGTTTGAATCTTCAGCATAGATTATTGTGTCATACAACAGTGAATAATATATGGCTGTTCGTGCTGGAGAACATCTCACAGTATGGCTAAGTAAAGGTGTAGTAAAAACCATCAACAACTCGATATTAGACCATCTGTTTCAAAAAACGGGCCACAAAGCCAGCATTGAAGAATCCTTCACTCTCATCTACCGGGTACCAAATAAATTGCCTAAAGCATCGGGGTACCGCATACTCCAAACATCAGAGGCTATCGCAATTCTCCTGAAACAACCAATGCTTTGTGTGCAAAAGAAGCAAGTCCAGCCAGCACTACTACTGCCCTGGTTGGCCTACAGTGGAGACTGTGAATACATGAATTTATATTATTATTTTTCCTAATTTCTCTGATATTCAATGTATTGTTATGTTGATGCTGTCGAACTGTAATCCATTGATATCATTATTATTATTGATTCGATGTTATTTAAACAACATTAATGTTGTTAATAACATTAATTCATTGACTATTATGTATATATAACTGTAGAAGCTGATGATGAAGTTATCGAAAAGAGTATTCTTTGTTCAGTAGCCATTCTTTTGAAACAAGCACCTCTAAATACTACAGTCTGAATAATTACTTAAATATTTCTAGATCTTTTGTTTTCAAAAATGAAACTGTTTCCATTAGTACGATAAACAGTACTGCAAGGCCACTTAAACACATACACACACATAGGAGAATTATTATTGTTATCAATACATTCCTGAACTGGAAGTAACATGGCACTTTATTGAAATAACATAAACTTGTAGCTCAGGTCGATGATTTCGAATTAGTTTTATTCTTTGAGCTGGTTGATTTAATTGCGAAACTTTCTTCTTCCTTCTGGACAACATCTTTAGCGCAGGGTTTAGCATAAAGTGAACTCATTTGAATTCTCTATGAATGATACAATTGTATCTCCCGGAAAATTAATTCTACCATGTATAAAAAGTATCTCCGAAATAACAGCTAGAATATTAAAACCGCTTAAAATAGATATAGCACACATGCCAGCCAGCACAATCACTTCACTCAATATTGTGCAAACTAAAAGATCCAATAGGAAAAGAAGATGAAATTAATACCATTTACAAAATAAATTGCATGAATTGTAACAAACATTATATCGGTCAAAATAGGCATCCCCTTCGAATCCGAATCCAAAAACACAAATTAGCTGTGAAAATACATGATATATATTCTTTCATATCAATGCATGCAGATAATTGTGGACACTATTTTGATTGGGATAATATTGAAATTTTAAACAGAGGAAACACCAAAAGTGCTAGAGAATTCCTAGAAGCCTGGTACTCAAATGAATCAGCGATTAACAAACATATTACAGACCAAATTTACCAGCTAATAAAAAGTAAATCACATGACAAAAAGTTCAAATTCCAAGTCAATAAAAATGACCATTAATGATGTAAATCAACTACCAGTCACGAAGATGGTTGCCAGGAGACACAAGTATATCATTCATGGGGAATTCGAATGAGCTTATTTTATAATAAACCCTCCGCTGAAAATGTTGTCCAGAAGGACAACAAAAGCTCCTCAATTAAATCAACCAGCTCAAAGAATACGACTAATTCACAATGGAGTTTTATTCTCACATGTATTTGAATTATGAAATAATCATGCAGAAATTTATAAATCGATAAGCTAGATATTCAGGTAGTGAAGCATACCATAAAGAGAATTCGACTGAGACGCTCATTGACATTATTTAAAAGATATCCTTGTTTCACTAAGAATAGTGAAATTGTAAAAGTAACAAAGCTGTATAAAGAGATGCATAAAATTTGTGTTTTTTGGCGAGTAATTATTATTATTGTTTCCTTTAATTCCTAGAGGAACATAGGGCTTCAGCCATGCGTCTCCATTGCGTTCCGTTCTCTGCGAGAGTCTTCACCTGGCTCCAAGTCTGCCCACACGTTTTCATCTCCTCTTCACATGACCTCCTCCAAGTTACCCTTGCACTGACGACCAACTCACCCCTTCCCTTTCGGGTTCCACTCGAGCAATGGCTTGTCTAGTGATGTCACTTGATGGTTTCCTAAGAGTATGGCCAATCCATCTCGATTTCTTACTGCCTATTTCTTTCACAATCGGTTCTTGGTCGGTTCGCTCCCAGAGATCCCTGTTGCTGATCTTTTCTGGCCGGCCATCTGATCTTGATTAGTATTGGGCGAAGACAACTGTTAACGAAGGTCTGTAGTCTGTTTGAGATGCTCTTTATGACGCACAGTGCAAGTCTCTGATCCGTATAGTAGCACTGACTTCACATTAGAGTTGAAAATCCGGATCTTATTTTTGATGCTGAGTGCTGTTGACTGTTGAGTAATTAGTGATCTGTTTTCCATGATAATAATAATAACAGAAACGACACAACTGACGTTCAACTCCAAGCGTTCTCTTACGATATGATGGTTTTCATTCACTGCCAGGATATAATTATATCCTGCTGTATTATTACAGACGTACATATGTGTTTTATTTCATTATTCTTAGTCACTTATCAACCACTGAGGTGGTGATTAATAATGTTTACGTAAGAACTGAGCCTGCAGCTTTCCAGTTTGTGGAATAACTAAGAAACAGTCAGCAGAATGACTTAGCTTATTATTCAAACTTTATAAAAATGAAATTCCTTTGACAGTAGTGCTAAAGATATCATCAAACAGCAGGCCATTATTCATGATCAATTCATAATGTCCACATAGCGTAGAGGTTTCTTGCCTTTGCACAGACTTATAAATTCTTTCTATGCGAAGAACTCAAAAGACGAAACATCGATGTTGGTATTCCTATATCTTTTATGAAAGAGCTTCTCTTGAAATGTACAACGAATGTCCATTTTTAATTTAATAAGGAACTGTATAGACAAATCGACGGTGTGGCAATGGGGTCACCACTAGGACCCATTCTAGCCGACATTTTCCTTGCGAAACTAGAAAATGGGCTTTTGAAGGATGTTGTCAATGAACTCGAATTTTATTGTCGGTACATGGATGATACCTTTTTGATTATGAAGAACGAAAAGGAAGCAAAGAACATCCTGGACAAATTTAATGAGGTACATCCTGCAATAAATTTAACTATTGAAAAAGAAAAAGACTCTAGTATTTCATTTTTAGACGTCCTTATGACCAGAAAAGAGGACGGCACAATAAGAAGAAGTGTTTATAGAAAACCTACATCAACGGGCCAGTACACACATTTTCCCAGCTTTGTGCCCTTGAAATACAAACGCAATCTAATAAAGTGCTTGGTCCACAGAGCAAGAGAGATTTGCTCGGACGAATGTCTTGACGAGGAACTTAACAATATTAAACGGTCGCTAAGTGAGAATGGTTATCCTGAAAAGTTTATTGATAAGAATATGAATCTGAAACCAAAGCAGCCCAAGTTACCAACAGTTCCAAAAAAGGCCTTGTTCTTACAGATGCAGTTCCTAGGAGACAACACCAGTGAGATACTAACACAGCGCCTTAGAAATGCGGTAAAATGAGCATTCCCTGCTGCTGAATTACTCTGTATCTTTAAAACCACTCCTCTTCTACGTCCAGGAATAAAAGACAAACTGTCTAATTTCGCCTCTTCCATGTGTATCCACCAATTTAACTGCTCCTGTGGAGCCAGTTACATAGGCCGTACAATTAGGCGTGTTTCTCGTCGAATTTATGAAAATCACCTTGCGTGGCTAAGCAAAGGACAAACAAAACCTATTCACAACGCTATTCTGTCTCATCTTGTGGAGACAGAACACAAGATTGACATTAACCATGCTATCAGGGTAATTTACCGCATACCTACGAATCTCAGTTTTGCCTTAAGAGTTCGACTATTGAACATTGCTGAGGCTGTGGGGATCCATATTAATAAGCCTAATTTATGCATCCAAAAGAAGTTAGTTCAGACATTATCAGTACCTTGGCAATCCAGGTTTGAATAATCCAGAATTTTTGTGAAATTTCCCTAATTTTAGTTGATATTCTATTCGCTATTATATGTTTATTATAGTTATAATTTAAGCATCTTTAATGAACTGTAATTGCATTGATCATACTATACAAATCGATATTATTTAAAAGACTCTAATATTGTTATTAACTACTAATTTAAAATATTCTGTGCATATTAACATATCTATAATTGTAGAGCCTGGAAGAGGAATTTATCGAAAAGAATATTCTTTGCTCGATTATTTGGTGTTTTATAGATCCAACGTTAAGTTAAAAAGCAATGAAATGAGAATAAATAGAGAAGTAAACACTTCAGATACCCCTTAGCACAGCCTTATATTCATTTAGCTGCTTATTCTTCATTAAGTTAAACCTTCTTTAAGTAAAAATAAGAATCTACTCTACACTCCAAACTTTATTTTACACATATTGAATCACATATATTTAGGAAGCCACAGTCTTTGAATAAATCTTGTATAAAAACAAACTCGACTATCAAAATCAATAAATAAGGCATTGGTAAAATAAATAAAAAAATAATCAAATATCAATTTCTTACTTGAATGGTTATGACATTTCATCAGTTCTTCTATGTGTGTTAAAAGAAGGCCTGTTTGCAGCTCCTTGGTCTTTATTTTTCTAGTTTACCAACAAAAAAGTAACATTCTCTGGGAGACAAAACAATCCACTTTTATTTATTTGATCCTATGCGCAAATTTATTTTATTTTTTTGTCATCACCTATAGTATTCAAACGAAAAGGAAACAAATGAGAAGAATTCAACGATATGAAATTTCGGATGAATAATGTGATCAAGACTAATCATGATATGAAACTGCCTGTATGATGCAGTCTATTGGTTTGCTAAATATACTTTTAAAGTAAAACCAAAGGTAGGATAAAGCATATATCAGTCAATTTTTTATTTATTTTATATTAACTGCAGTTAAGATTTAACCGAATAGTTTGAAAAAAAATTGGGTGAGAAGTGGATGGAATCCAGAAATATTAAATTTATATTTGCGTAAGTCTTACAGAAGGCGTCGGTGGCACTGCGGTAGAGTGTTCACCGACCACATATGTGGTCCGGGGTTCGACCCCCGACCGACGCACTCCTTTACCTCGCTGAGCCAGTAGTAAAACTGGTAAAGAGGGAAGGTTAGGCATGAAGCTAGCAACCCCATCCCGTAAATATAATCACCACTGCTACAGAAACTTCAAGCCTGTAGCTTGAAGCCCTATGTTCCACTAGGAACGTAAAGGAATGAAAAAACGAAATTAATAATTCGAATGTTTCAGTAAACTGGTTCGGATCTCTACAGATGAATAATTAAATTAAAATAAGTGTATAAATAACTGGTCATATCCCGATGTACTTTTTGAAGAAATTTTAAATGGCGTCTACAGTTAAAATAAGAAAGTATTTCGCCTTTAAGTATGGCATATATTTTATATATGATACTCTGACAACCAAAACAAAATAATTTTAAATTTAATACTGGCAAATTTGATAGTAGTGTAGTACAATGCAATATAGTAATCTCTTCCACTTTCTATCTCACATGCTTCTTGAGAAGTTGCTTCAACGTGAATTTCAGTCTCAGTTGAACGCACAATTTTTTTCAAACTACTATGATGTAAGTTATTTCCTACTGAATACCTAATTCTGTCTTATTTGTCTGAGTACACCACATTCGATGATATATAGCAAGATATGATTAGTATGCTAGCTAAGATGTAAACAAATCAATTAAGTAGTCTAAAAGAAAATCATATGAATTTAACCATTCATCATTTTTTTACTCAGAAACCTTACCAATGTTGATTGTTTCTGAACACCTAAAAATTCTATATCACTTCTCAGATGTTGCACAAAATCAGTGTTAAGTCAAACTTCGAGAAAACGTTTAATTTTATGAACGTGAATAGGTAATGAATAGTACATGCAATATAGACGATTCTGACGGTAATCAAATTAATTTTCAAATCATAAGAAATATAATTTGAATATCCCCATAATTTATTCAAAATAAAAATAGTTAGAGCGAACGATTGTTATCAATACATTCTTCTTCAGGCTCTACAATTATAAATCCGTTAATTTTTTAACATACATTAGACAGTTAAGGCAAGTTAGAATTATATCAGAAGATGTATTGTGGGAAAAGTATAGCAAGGGATGGAACAATACACAATTAGTTTTTATTATCGTTTATAATATGCACGATCAATAAGAAGATGAGATGAAATAATTCAGTGATACATACACAAATATATATTCATCCACAAAAGTACAAGTTTCAAGGGTGAGTGTATCAGTGGTATGGGAGACAACATGAATACTACAGAAAAATAAACCAACAAATGGGTGGACTAGACGTAAGTCCCATGTGTGCTAATGTATGCTAAAAAATTAATGGATTTATGATTAAGATACTGTCTTGTCCAGGTAGGTTTTCTATAAATAGATCTTTTTATTGACCCATAAAGCCGTCGACTAAGCAATATGTCTAGGAAAGATAAACAGTTATCTTCCTCTTCTACAGATGTAAGTGTCAGCTATTCTGAACTTCATTCATTCAATTTAAAATTGAGGTGGCAGAACAAAACTTATCACTGATGATTACAATATCATCTACATACCTTTACCTGACTTGGAGCCAGGTAAAGACTCTCGGAGAGAACCGAACGCAATGGAGACGCATGGCTGAAGCCCTGTATTCCTCTAGGAATTAAAGGAAACAATAATAATAATATAATAATCAAGACTGTCAGTAGTAAAACAGTGATACTTTTGAAATAAAGTATACGGTCTATCAAATTTATTCTAAACTGTCACAGATCATGGCTTTACAAGTAAATAAAACGAAATTTCCACCTTTTATCTAGTGATACTAGAAGAAGTAAAGCTATTTAAAAGAACCATGCAGAAATATCCTAAAAGATCACTAAAGTTGTGGTAATATAATAAATAACCTTGAGATGTTAAACTGTATGATTTATATCGTATAATACAGATGATAGATAATTTTTCTAATTGCTGAAACACTGTAAATTTATTATCAATATCCGTTTAAATCTAGCTTGTTTACACAGGGAGATGTAACCTTAATTTTTACTTTCTGTGGGTAGGATATTGTCACCGTTTGTCTACAAGTGAATGAACAATGTATTCTATCAAATGCACCATTATCATAAATGTGCCTAAATGTGAAATACATTTCAGAATATACCGTTAGTGATGTTTCAACTTGACGCTTTATTCTACAATAAATATTTTACTAGATTAAAGTGGGGTCATTAATAATAACTTAACTCTAAATGTCAGTAGATGCAATTCACTCCGTAGTTTACTTTGAATGCTTCCATAACACCAAAATAAACACAAGACATTTCTCAGACAGCCTTTTGGAAGGTTTCACATGCCAAAAAAACTTATGACTTCTGTCAGGTAAAATCAACGTGAAATTACACGCGCTAAAACTAAAAAATTGATTCGCCGTGCAAGGAATAGGTCTCGTGACTCAGTCACCGAGCTGATAACTCTTAAAAAAGTGAGCGTCTGGTATAAAGTAACATTTACTTAGACGCAACCACATTTAGCTGAATAAGACTGAATAAGATGAACAGAACAATCTGGTTTTCACTGTTGATCAAAAAATTAATCCCGTTTGATTATTTCTTTTTTCAAAATAGGGATGCCTGGAATATAAAAGCGACATTCCACCATTTCAATTCATTTGGTAGCTGGTTACTTTACGAAAAAAGTCTGTCAATGTAGATCTAAGAATGAATGAAATAACAGCAACTTATAGAACCAATCTATCTGCCTACTTGAAAAGAAACTAACAGTTTTGCGGTCACATCATCAGAAATAACTCAGGCGTGATTCTGTCTTGATTTCTAAACAGCTGATTTGTATCTCAGATATAAAGAAATAACACATGTGAACAAATGACTTTCCTTTAAACTGGAAATGCTACTTTAATGGTTTACAGTAGTATAAAATGAAGTATCAAATGTAAGTGTTGGAAAATAAAATTGAAATTATTAAAACTATCTTAAATAAACCGTTTCACATGTTTTACAATTGTTCTTAATTTGGTCATATAAAAGGCAAAAGTAAAAAAACGTCATTTGATTTATTTGAGCGTTTATCAATTACAGTCTCCTTGGGAAACCAAAGGTACTCAAATCATTATACATAAATATACATATATACAATGAAGCACAGATCACTTAATGATAATTATCTGCTCAAATTAAGACGCTTTTATGTGAGTTAAATGAAGTTTCGAATGGCACAATAAACTGTTAACTGACTATCATAGTTTATTCCGAACAAAAAATGGTTACTGTACTTCATTCAAAAAAACAAGATATGCAGTGTTTTACAATGAAACAAAAAAGACATGAGAATGTGCGAGAATACGAGCTACTGCAAATCACACTCGCCGCGTCTTTATTTCAGTATGCTTGGAGAACAGAAGTGGTCATTTTCGAATTGAAATTCCTCAGATAGTTGATTTTGTATTACTTGCCTAGATGAACAACGCTGTAATCATATCAGATGTTACGTCCAGCTGTTTCAAAGGTGTTATGTTAAGTATTTCGCATAGCTGGAATATCTGTCGTAGTGTTTGCTATACTATATTCTAAAATATCACACGGTAGCTTTTATTACTAATGCAAAATCATAATGAAAAAAGTATGACGCTGTTCAAAATGACTACTACTACTACAAATTGTATGACAGATATGTTACATATATAATCGATTTTTCAAACTTATACAGAAACGTACAATGAAATCTATCTGCTTTAAACTAGTCTATAAACTATGTCATCACTGGTGAAATAAAAATTAAATCAAGTTTGAATAGTAATCACGTTCTTACAGTGGTAGTTTTATTGATTGAGTGAAGTGCCACTGGTCTTATTTAATTTCTCAACCCTTCTTAAGATAAATTACGTATCTGATATGCCATCATTCAGTGCGAATCACAGACAGTAACCGGTATACTATCGCTCAAAAGATACGATAAAAATAGTGATTTAACTTCTGACATTCTGAAGAAAGGAAAATCTTACTCGCTAAAAACAGTAATCTTCAGTGTAACTTTAAGATTAGTGTTCTCTAGTTTCCTTTCACCATTAATAATCTGAAGAAAAAGACAGTGTACTTGGACATCTCTACTCATATGTACCAGTTTGACCCTTTCTGTGGCACAGGCTGTCATAAAATACATCCCAGAACACAGTTGTGAGCACTTGTAAAAAGAGAGAAATGGATCTATAATAAGTGTAAAAATTGAAAATTTCTTGGACACCAATTACTCAACTTTGAAATGCCCTGCCACGATTCCATGCTTTTCTTTATACAAATTACTCATCATTTATCAACTATTTTTGTATTACTCAAAACTATTCAGCTCTGATAAATTTCCACTACTTCTTGATTAACACTTACCAATCTAAGCAACTTCATACTTCTAGATTATTCATTTTGAAATAACAAAAGCAGTGGTTGGAGCATGATAAAATGATATTATTTGATTTCACCGATTTCTGATTAGTCGCAC